GCGCCGATGTTTCCTTGGCGCGCTCCGCGTGCCAGGGGCGGCCCGAGAACCCACGGCGGCGACCCCGTCGTCGTCCTCCTCCTCCTCCTCCTCCTCCTCCTCCTCCTCCTCCTCCTCCTCCTCCTCCCCCTCCTCCGCCTCCACCTCCTCATCATCCGTCTCCTCCTGCGATGTCCTTCTTCCTTGTTCCCCTTCCCCTCGTTCACGTCCTCCTCTTCCTCTTTCTCCTCCTCCTCCTCCGACTCCCGCCCCCTCCTTTCCTCCCCGAGGTCCAGAAATTCCACCGATCCAAAACTTTTGTTCCCAACCATCCTGTGGTGTTGGGTCCTCATTTTGGAGAGACGGTCCCCGCGTTCCTCTCCTCTCCTCACCTGTCCTCCTCCCCCTCCGCCTCCGTCCTCCCATCACCTCCTTCACTTTGGCACACCCCTCACGCGTTTCGTCGCCCCGTAGGGAGCCCCACCGGAGGCCCACATGCCAGCGTTCGCGCGCACACCCCTCACACGTTTCGTGGCAAGCCCAAATGCCAGCGTTCGCACGCGGTCACGGCCACCATTTTGGTACACCCCTCAGACGCTTCGCGTTCGCATGCGCCCACCGCACCCATTCTCGCACACCCTTTGGGGCCCAATAGGGAGCCCCACCGAAGGCCCCAATGCCAGCGTTCGCGCGCGGTCACCGCACCCATTTTGGTACACCCCGCACACGTTTCGTAGCCCTGTAAGGAGCCCCACCGAAAGCCCACATGCCAGCGTTCGCGTGCGACCACCGCGCCCATGTTGGTTCACCCCTCACACGTGCAGTGGCCCTACAAGGAACCCAATCGAAGGCCCAAATGCCCGCGCTCGCATGCGCCCAGTTTGGCACACACCTCGCAAATTTCGTGGCCCCACAGGGAGCCTCACCGAAGATAAAAAATGCCAGCGTTCGCGCGCGCCTACCGCACCAATGTTGGCACGCCCCTCACACGCTTCGTGGCCCCGTAGGGAGCCGCACCGAAAAACCAAATGCAAGCGTTCGCGTGCGATCACTGCACCTATTTTGGCACACCCTTCACACGCTTCGTGGCCCCATAGGGCATAGCGAGCCTAATCGAATGCCCAAATGCCCGCGTTTGCATGCGCCCACCACCCATTTGGCACACCCCTCACACGTGCAGTGGCCCTATAGGGACCCCCACCGAAAGACCAGTTTGAACCTCAATACATTCCCTGGGAAACAAAAAAAGACAGGGTGCCAGCGCCAGGAGGGGCACACCAATCGAACAACTTCCAATGTACTCGAGAAGCGCGCTCTCGCCCGAGATCCCCCTGCAATTTGGCAAGGCGCCGCGCCCCCGCCGCTCAGGCATTGTGCCCTCGCCGCGCACTTCCTGACAGTTTGCGCGGAAACCGCGCTCTCGCCCGACGGCCTCCTAGCGAATAGCACAGGCCTCCCCCCGCTCGACCCGCCCGTCCGGGTCCGCCCGCCGGACCCGCCCGCGGGGGCCCGAGGTCGCCCCTCGCTGCTTTCCCGCCCGTTCCGCCGTCGCGGACCCTTCGTGGGCCGGTCGCGGTGGCTCTTCGTGGCCGTCGCTGCCCTGCCTGGCCCTTGGCAGCCCTCAGCGGCCCCTTCCCGTCGAAGGTTCTTCCCGTTCAGTGGTGTCGTCGTCCGTGTTCTCCCTCCCTCGCTACTTCCCCCTTCCCCCCTGCCTCCCTTCCCCTGCGCCCCTCCTCCTCGCGCTCTCTTGTCCAGCACGTCTGTGCTGCCTGTGAAAAGAAGGGCGCGCCAATTACGAGTGGCAAGGAAGACCAAGATCCCCCTTATAGGGGGCAGGATCGAAGATGAAGAGGGCGGGTGTCCAGGGTTTGGAAACACACACACAGATTCGTTGGCACGCACGCGCATAAGAGCGAACCATATTAAGATGTTGGATGGTGTTGTTGGTGTTGTTGTCGTTGTTGGTGTTGCTACCCGTATAAAATATGTGGTTTGGTTGTTGTGAGAGAGCGTGATCCACCGACGCTTTACTGTGGGAAATTGCCGCCCTTGGAGCGCGGGATGTGGGGGGGCGGTGCCGTTCCGAAATGTGGGGGCTGGGGCGGAGGGGGCGCGCTGGCTGGCGGGTCGGGGGATACAGACGGGCCGCGCGGGATGGGAAGGGGGGGCGGTGCCGTGCCGAAAGACAGGGGTCGGGACAGAGGGGGCACGCTGGCTGGTGGGCGGGGCGGTGCAGGGGGGGGCGCGCGTGATAGGGTGGTGGTGCCATGCTGAAATAAAAAGGTCGGGGCGGAGGGGGCGCGTTGGCTGGTGGTTGGGATGTTGTGGAGGGGGCGCGCGGGATGGGAGGGGGGCGGTGCCGTGCCGAAAGCAAAGGGTCGGGGCGACGGGGGCGGTGCCGTGTCGAAATGAAAGGGGTTGGGGTGGAGGGGGCGCGCTGGCTGGCGGGTGGGGGGATGCGGAGGAGGCGCGAGCCGGAGGGGGCGCGATGGCTGGTGGGTGGGCGGATGCGGAGGGCCTATGGTGAGGGGTCGGGGCGTGGCGGCGCCGTGCCGAAATCAAGGGGTCGGGGCGGAGGGAGGGCGCGCTGGCTGCTGGGTGGGAGGGTGCGGAAGAGGCGCGAGGGATGAGAAGGGCGGTGCCGTGCCGAAGTCAAAAAGTCGGGGCGGACAGGGTGCTCTGGCTGGCGGGTGGGGTGATGCGGAGGGAGCGCGCGGGATGGGAGAGGGGCGGTGCCGTGCCGAAATAAAGAAGTCGGGGCGGAGGGGGCGCGCTGGCTGGTGGATTTGGCGATGGAGGTGGCATTCGCGATGGGGAAGGCGATGCCGTGCCGAAGTATAGGGGTCGGGGCGGTGGGGGCGCGCTGTCTGGTGGGCGGGGCGATGCAGAGGGGGTGTTTTGGATGGGGGGGCGGTGCCGAGGGGTCGGGGCGGAATGGGCGCGCTGACTGGTGGGCGGGGTGACGCGGAGGGGGCACGCGGGATGGTGGGGGGCGGTGCAGCGCCGAAATAAAATGGATCGGGGCGGAAGTGGCGCGTTGGCTGGTGGGCGGGGTGATGCGGAAGTGGCGCGCGGGACGGGGGGGGGGCGCCGAAATAAGAGGGTCGGGGCGCAGGGGGCGGCCTGGCTGGTGGTTTCGGGGGGATGCAGGGGGGGCGCGCGGGAAAGGGGGGGGCTGTTGTGCCGAAGTGAAGGGTTCGGGACGGACAGGGCGCGCTGGGTGGTAAACGGGGCGATGCTGAGGGGAGCGCTCGGGATGAGGTGGGGCGGTGCCGTGGGGGGCGGTGCCGAAATATATAAGAAAAAAGGCCGGCCCGGAGGGTACGCGCTGGCTAGTGGTCGGGGTGATGCGGAGGTGGAACGCGGGATTGGGGGGGCGGTGCTATACCGAAATAAAGTGGTCGGAGCTCTATGCACACTGTGCAAGAAAAATTGCTCGAATCGTGAGGGTTCAACATGGGTTAGGGAAGCTTCAGATCATCTGGGAGTTTGAGCAAAAGCGGAGGACGTACCGACCGGGAGCGTCGTTATTTGCAGGGGGACCGCTTGCGGCGCCAAGGCGGAACACAAGTAGAAAGGAAATGTCGAGCGGGAGCGTCGATTTGTAGGAAAACCAGCTGTCGGCGGCAAGCAAGAGCCCACGTCCCGAGTAGATAGGAGGATGTATCGAACGGGAGCGTTGTTGTTGCTGCTGCTGCTGCTGCTGCTGCTGTTGTTGTTGTTGTTGTTGTTGTTGTTGTTGTTGTTGTTGTTGTGGGGCCGGTTTCGGCGCACCCCCGAAACGCCTGAGCGTGAGCCGCGGTTTCAGAGAACTTGCAGCTGGCGCCGGCGCCCAGGCGAGAGCGCCAGGGCGCTTTTACGGGGTCCAACAATGACAATTGTTTATTAATCAAGATTCAACAGAAAAACAACAACCACCACGACGACGACGAAAACGACAGCAGCAACAACAACATCAGCAATCGTTTTCATCTTGTTCGTTCTTACTTGAATGCGTGCCAGTCAACACGTGTATCCCAAACCCTCGATACTGGCCCTGTCCGTTTTCGATCGTACCCCCCTGGGGGTATATAATTTCCTTACTTGCCGCGTGTGATTGATGCAACCCCGAAAACAGGAGAACAGAAGACGGATGGAAGGGGGAGGGGGAAGGATGGAGCACAGGACTCGCTTTAGGGGGCCAGGAAGAGAAAACACGTGGCAGAACCAGACGGGCAGATCGGGCGGGTAGACGCGAACTGGTGGGCCAGAAAGGCGGGCCTAAGCGGCCAGGTCGAGTAGGCGGGTTGCTGAAGCGTGAGTACTGCATGGATTGCGAGACGGTCCCGAGCGATTGCGCAATTTCCAAGTGAATTGCGAGCCCCAGGAGGACAACGGTCACCGGGCAGCGGGGATCATCATGAATTATTATTTTGCAATGGGTATTCAACAGCAGTGCGCACCACGGAAGCCCACTTCAGTCACGCACCCAGGGACAGTGAATGACAGTACGGACCCCCCACTCTGATATATATATATATATACATATCGTCGCGTTCCTTCGTTATGCGATGCTGATGTCTCTCTCTATCTTTCTCTCTCTCTCTTTCTCTCTTTCTCTCTCTTCATGTCTTGCTCTCTACTCTTATTTTTTTCTATGCTTGTTGGGTCAGTACTCTCGCTCTCTCTCTCTATCATTTTTGTTGTTTTCCTCTCTCACCCCCTATGTATAGAATTGTTTATGTGTGTTTGTCTTTGTTTGGTTTGTTTCTCTCTCTCTCTCTCTCTCTCTCTCTATATATATATCTATACACAACGAGTGCAACAGGCATTCCCCCCGAACTCTCTCTCGCTCTCTCTTCCTATAAACGCTCCGGGTATGCGGCATGCTTGAGCGTTCTTCCATGTGGTTGCTGTGGCTCACTGGTTCCATGTTTGCGATTGAGATGTGTTGCCAGCAAGCGGACGAGAAGGGGAAGGAGGAATTCATTAACGAGGAAGACGGCGAGGAACACGACGGCACAGACAAATCCCTGCCAGAGGTACCACCGCGAGGACGCGATGTGCTTGAGCTCGGACTCACACATGGACTTCGAGAGGGGCTGGGACACGACCATGATCTCGGACTGGGCCTCCACCAGGAACGAGTTCGCCGTGCTGTCGGCGTACCCCGCCAACGTTGGCTCTCGCGCGGGCCCTCAAGGGGAGTATATTGACCTATGCGGTTATTCCTTGGAGGATGGAATCCCGCGCGGCAGAACGGGTGGCAATATGTACCCGCAACGCGGTGTTGCGCCGTATCTGACAGTGAATTGGGCTGCTGGCCTGTCTTTCCACCGGTGCCACGCGGAGAAGAACGTGCCCGTGGATTGGCACTTGCGCTGGATCTTCACCGGCGAGGAGATCAACCGCGCTGTCCGCTTCTTCACCAGCGGCTACGACATTTATTTGCCGACCAACATTGCGGTCACTCACAACTACTCGCACGCATCCCAGGCTCGGTGGAGGGCCAGTTGAGACAACGGCGGCTTTCCCGCCCAGCCCCGATCCGCTCAAAATTAGTGCCTGGACCCCTCCAGGGGATGCATTCTGATCCGTGTTTGGATGCGGATCCTGTCGTGGCGACCAGAAGCCTTGAGGAGCACCAGAAATCGAAGAACAACTAATTACATAAACATACACTTTCGGAGGTCCGCGCTGATCTCTTGGATCGGCGCTAGACTCCCCTCCATGGCGGAGCGCGCCAGGGACGGCGAGGGAGGCGCCGCCAGGTGGCTCCAGCGCCGGTGGAAGAAATCGCGCGGACCTCCGAAAGTGTATGGTAACGCCGTTCTCTTTCCCAGGATGGACGAGACGCACACCAGGGAGAGCAGTCGCTGTCTTTAAGCCAGGCCTGTCCCCCTACAGGGGGAATATTAAAAAATAGTAAAAACAAATATTATGGGCATCATGTGTTGATTGTTAATTGACTCTTTGGGGGTATTTCTAGGGTATTTTGAATTTTTTGCCCAAAACCGCCTGTAAGGGGACACGCCCGACCCAACGCTGTCTCGCCTGGCCCTCCTCCTGCAGGCGTTCTTCTCCTACGGGCCCAATGACCAGGGCGCGCTGAAGCAGAAGTCGAGGGACCGCCTCGCGCGGCTCTCAGGGGCAGCCTCAGGGAGGGGAAGGCTCAGGGAGGGGGGCATGAGCGTTGCGGGTTCGAGGTTTTTCAGGTGTTCGGACGTTTTCGCCGGGTCTAGTCTGCTTTCCAGCCTCGGGGTGCTCTTTCAAGCGGCCGCGCCTCGCCGAGGGTGTTCTGGGGGTGCCCGGATCGCCTGAACGGCCGCGGGAGACCAGTTTCATGACCCAGAGTCTAGAGGTCGAGTCGGGGCTGGACAGAACCCCCAATAGTGACACGTCGATTAGTGAATTGTCCGTTTTCGGTTCTCGAGAGGGCGCCGCGGCCGTTATTTTCCAGGCTTGCGCCCGCCAGGTTTGGCCCGAGGTCGTTTTCACTAAACCACGTTTTACTAAAGGGAGGTCTGTCCATCCCCGATCGAGGATCAGGGCTGGAGTCGAAGATTAGGGGCAACTTTGGGGGGACAGGCTCAGGGGGGTACGCATCGGCCCCCCATCGCCCACTCGTCGCTGGCAGGGGCCCCATGGCCCACCCATTCCAGGGCGGTGCGACTCCGCCATCGGGGGACCATCGGCGATCTGCCGGCGATGCACCGCCGATCCACGCTCGATGCTGCCCCCCTGAGCGGGTCCCACCCTATCCGTGCTCCTCAGGCTCTTCGCGGACGGCTGGGTGGCGGAGAAGGCGGACGGCCAGCGCGCCGTTGGCGCCGGGGGCCTCCAGGGGGCCGCGAACTTCGGCGTGGGCAGTCAGCGCAGCCTCGAGGAGTTCGTTCGCTGGGGCAGGGTGAACCTGGGCGGGAGCTGGCCCCAGTGGATGCGAGACAACGGCCCTCGAAGAAAGAGCTGCACAATGCAGAAGCCGTCGGAACGTCCGCGTGGGTTTCTTGGGTCTGCGCTGGGACCCCTGGTGACGCTGTGGAGGGGGTCCAGCGCCGATCCAAGAAATCCGCGCGGACCTCTGACGCTTATTCTTACCCTGTTTTCTGGTCTTCTTCTAGGCGTGACGGAGATGTCGGACGAGGAAACCCACCGTTTCTGCAAGACATTGGATCGCTTGCCGGTGCGGGACGAGGTGAGTCTCGTGGCTTCTGTGAGCTCCAAGCCCGACGAGTTTGCCGCGGACAGAAACGGCAACGTCAAGTTCTACGGCGACGGGGAGGAGTTGGATGTGAGAAAGCTTCTCTGAGGCACTGCGCATTAGCTACCGCATGTGCCAGGCGCACAGAAGCTTGCCGCACGTGTGTCGTGCCGACGCGACTGCGACCCCGGCATGGGCGTCTCCGCTGCCCAGCCCGCCATTTCGTGGCTCGCGGGGCCTGCGTGTCGCAGCGAAGCGGTGTCCTGTGAAAACTTGGCGCCGAGAAGAGGCCGAGGAGGAAGAGGGGGGGAAGAGGAGAGTGAACATCAGAGCTGGATTTACCTCTTCCGCTTTCGCTTCGAAGCACAACCAAGCCATACCTCGCACCTCTAGTTTGGAAGCGCGCGCGCGTCACCCCGCCCCGCCGCATCGCAGTGCAAAACCACGGAATTCCCAGATTCCGCCCCAAACGACGTTTGGCATCGTGTTACGATAATTCGGCACCGTGCCAGGGATACTTGAGTCGTATTGGAATGTGAATGTGTTGTAATCGTGCTGGAACAGTTTGGTACAGTACCGGGGCAACTCCACATTGTACCAAACGCGTTTGGTATGATACCAAGTTCGCGCTTGCATCGTCAGTTGACCACGTTTACGCATGCGGGCGAGGCCGAAAAGCACTTGGCAGTGTACTGGAAACACTTGGCATTATACCACCAAGTTTTCCCCGTATTCTACCACAGCGTCGTCTGGTACCGTGTCAGGCGCCGTTCTGGACAGCGTTTGGGAGATCGAGGCTCGGCAGCTCGATAGGGGGCGGGAGGCGCAGCACGGCCCGGGGAAGATCGACGGGCATGCGGATCGCGCGTCGGCGCGCGAGGTCGCGGTTACGCTCTCCGCGAGCAAGTTGGTTTTGTTCGGTTCCCATTTGGAAGCGGGGGGTGTCAAAAGCGAGGTAGGTTTTGACGCCTCTTAGAAAAGGAGAAGAGGAGAGTGAGGAGGAGGAGGAGGAGGAGGAGGAGGAGGAGGAGAAGGGGAAGCGTTCGCCGGATCCGGGGGTTGCCGCCTCTTTTCCATTGTCCCCGCGTGAACTCACACGGTCCAGTGTTCCTGAGATGTTTCCAGCGTGAGTTTGCATCAAATCTCAGACATAGGGCTGTCATTTTATTCACGGAGTTGTGTCGAGCAAGTTCGAGTCCCAGAACATGCCTCCCCGAAGGATTTGGCCTGAGGCGCGCGCGCAAGGGGCAGGCGCGAGGGGAGCGGCTTTCTAAGAAGGCGGTGGCTTCTCAGAAGGCAGGGGCCGTTGTCAGAGGAGCCGGGAGGACTCGCTGACATCTTTTCTTGAAGCTGCCATGGGGCTCTAAGGGGCTCCCACCCCTTCGGGCAGAAGCCCTCCCCCGCGCCTTCTCAGAAGGCCGCTCCCTCCGCTGCAGTCCACCCGCATAGTAAGGATGGGCAACCTTCCCAAGGGTACCCTTGCATCCTTGCCGTCTCGGCCCATCCTTAGCCGCTTTCGTTGGCCGCGGCCCGCTCGAAAAGCTTCGCAATGGGCGTCCAAGGCCCTTGCATCCTTATCGCGCATCCTTACTCTACGGGTTGACTCTACCCCCTTGCTCGCGCCGCCAGTGAGGACGACTGCGACGAGGAAGTCTTGTGGAGGATCAGGACGAGGATCGGGAGGGTCAGGAGGAAGCGAGTACTCTTAAGTCGGGCCTGTCCCTCTACAGGAGGAATATTCAGAAATAGTAAAAAAATAGTCGGGGGACTATTTTCTAGTATGTTTAGATCATTTTGAGGTATGTTTGGAATCTAATTTTTCGTCGAAAATCGGCCTGCAGGGGGACAGGCCCGACTCAAGAGTACTTGACTAGGGAGGCATACGAAGGCGGCCTGAGCCGCGTGTCCTCCCTCCTCTTCTCTTCCTTCTTCGAGCGAAGCTGAGTCCAAGCGATCGAGGCGCCTCTGGAGGAGTGCCACCTGCATTCGCCTTTCGCGTGCTGTCCCACGCTTTTCCCCACTTCCCGTGCACGCTTTCCTCGGGCCGGCCGCTCCGAACCGCGACGCAGCGGAACGTTTGCCGGTAGCCTCCCGCCTCTGGAGGGGCGATGGGGCGAGGGGGGTGGCCCAAAGGGGAGGGAAGGGTTCGGCTCGTTTCCGACCAGGGAGGAGCGAAAGCAGGAAGGTGCGGGGTCTTCCAGGGAGGCGGCGCATCACGAGCGGCGAACGCCTCTCGGGGGCGGCAAAGAGGGGGGTGATGACAAGGGGGGTGGATATCATGGCGGGGGCCAGGATATTTCCCCAGATTCGGTGGCGCCTCTTCTCATTTCATGACGTCCCTGGCCCCCCCCATGGGCCGCGCACATGCCGCCGGTCATGAGTTGCACCCCCCCCTCTTGGACAC